CTTTGCTTTGGCGTCCTCACCCTGTGAGCAGCATGTGCACTTTGAATGCCCTTGGCATCACCGTCGTCCAGTATTTCTTTCAACTCGTCGTTACCTTTCCGTTTTCGCCGCCACTCCGTGATGCGTTCTCCCATCTCTCGTTTATATTTGGCCCGCTGGCGAAGCAGCTCCGCCTGGACCTCCTTACCGTACTTTTTCTGATCCTTCACAGCACGTCGGTGGGCTTGTGCTTCAATGCGGGCCTTGGAGTCCTCAATTGCCGCCGCAATGCGGCCCATCTGAACGTCGTCCTTAAACATCTCCGCGTAGTAATCAGCTGGACGCCTCCACGGTACTGCAGCCTCTTCCAGGAGGGAAATGCCACGCGAAACGGACAACAAGGCCTGTTGAATAAAAACCTCTTCACGCCTTGGGTCATCATCAGCATTGAGGTCCGCTGGCAAGGACTTCGTAGATGTCAAAGCCATTCGCTCCACCCATTGCGCCGGCTCACTGAATTCGACTGCCGCAGTTTTTTCTCCCTCCGCATTATTTTCCTTCTTATCATTAGGAGCCATTTTACCCTTACGTCTCGCTTCATTTTTCTCATTCACTTCCTTTGGCGTGCCATTTAACTTGACGACAGCAGGACGCTTCTTCCTGGCAGCCACGTCGTACACAGGCATAGCTCTATCCTATGATTTCACAACAACAAAAGGAATAATATTGGTAAATAACCAACCAATAGAAAGAAATTAACATAAGGCCCTACGGTAAAAAGAAAATCATGACATAACTCCACTTTTTCAAAATACCACACATGGAAACAAAAACATACACCCTCACAGCCTTTTGGGCGAGTGGAAGACGCAGTGAAAAACACACAGATAAACAAAAAAAAAAAAATGAATAAATATGGCCATACATTGAAAAGAACTAAGTCCACCTTTACATCTTATAGAAACTGCAGTGTGCTACCCACTTACCCCAGAAATGCCGTTGCCCCTCAGGTACGCCTCATACGTAGACACTATCACCTGCTGCTTCGCAGCCAATTGAGTAATCAGATGCTGGAGGTCGCCAATAATGGCATCCTTCTCCAACGATAAGTCACGCACTCTATGTTCAATTTCGCTTATGCCCTCAGGGTCTATATTGACCCTTTTCAGCAACTCTGTTAAACGAGCATCACGCCCCTCTAGTTGTGACTGCACAAGCTCCAATTTATTTTGAACAAGAACCCGTCGAAACGTTGCCTTTCTTTGAATGTCTTGCAACATATTGTTGTATTTGTTGAGGATAATATCGCGATCCTCTTCTAGTTTAACGAAGCGCTGAGAAAGAACCTCGTTTTCCCATGAAAGTGTGCGCAGCTCCTGCTCTCGTTCTCGCACATTCATCTTCATCTCCCGAAGTTTATCTCTATCACTAGAGTAATTAATAAGTTCCTGCTCTAGCTCTCGCTTCTGCCGCTGCAGCTTCGCTAAGGGCTCCGTAAGTTTTTTGTTCCTTTGTGCAACATCCATCATTGCCCGTTCGTTGTGTGCCTCAGTCCGTTTTCTAGCATAAACCTCATCCTTTAGGGTGCGAATGGTTTCCAAGTTGTTTGAAGTAATTTCACTGTAATATTCTTTCATTTCCTTAAAAGTGCGCTCGTGCGTTTCTCGAAGTTCGGCAATGTGGTCACCCTTGCGCTTTTCTATTAGACCAATCTCCTCCCGGCGCCGCTGATCCATTTCATCCCGTAGATCTTTCATTTTCTTTTCGTATATAAGGTGCATTTCTTTATTTTTTCGCTCAAAGGCAAGCTGCTGCTCCGCAATCTCCTGGTCATGAGAAAGAGTGAGGGCCGACGTCATATCTCGATGCTCATTTTCTTGCGCCCGCAGCATCAACTTGGCATCACGGATCTCCCCACCACTATTCCTCTCCTTTTGTCGATACTCCTCCTCCCGTATAGCCAAAGTCCTCTCCGCCTCACTGATCATCTCCGCAAGTTGAAGCTGGTGTTCATACATCATGTGTCGGATTTTTTGCTTAAACACTTTCTTCTCTACTTCCTGGCGCTCTTGGGCTTCTGCTTTGTCATTCTCTCGTTGCCGAAGCTCCGTCTTGAGATCCTCCAACTGTTTCTTGGTCACCTCCCAAAAAGAAATAATCCTATCACGTTCCAACTGAAAGTAATTGCGCATCGCCTTTTCCTTTTGTAGGGTGTCCGTGGCAAGCCATAACTCTCGGCCGTCCGGTATTGGCGGTGGGGGGGCAGACGGCACAGCGGCGATGGACTTATTTTTCCTTGCGTCATTTGCGGCCCCCTTTGCCTTTGACCGAGTGGCAACTGCCCTTTCCTTTGGTGGCATCGACGTCCCTCCTTTGTTTCACACAACTGGTGGAGACAGAAAGCTTGTGATGGATAGAGTAGAAAGAAAAAAAAGTCAAAATGCCTACTGGTTTAATACAAGAGAACATGTAACCTGTAGGGATGTGCAAAATTCCAAAAATTACGGCAGAGAATATATATATATAAACAAAGGAGAATGGAAGTAAATGGTGTAAAAAAGAAATCCACCAAAAGGTAGGTTTTTAATTCAAAAGTTACACGTAAGGGCTAATATGTCGGTTCCGCTTGAAACTTCTGTAATTTTTTGGTAGAAACTCAGATAACGTTGCCTTCTTTGAGGTCTTTCAGCGGTGAAGCCACAAGTTCGTCCCAGGAACTGCTGGGAAGAATGTAACCGTCAAAGTGTCGTGTTGTATACTGCATCGTGGTATCGTGACTATAACGCTGTTGCACCGCAACGTACTGATTGATGTAATAAAAAAGTAAATCGTCCACATCCCCACGGTACAATGGTTCTTTCGACTCTTCTGCGCAGTGCTTTCTCTTGTTGGAAATGAACTCCCGCAAAAAAAAGTAGATAGCCTCAACTGTCGCTAAGTAGGTGGGATCATTGTTCTGAAACCGCCAGAAGAGCGACATCTGGGACTTGATGCGCACCTTTTTAAACCTGCACACGCGCTCGTCACGCGCAATGGCCTTACTCTGCTGCCAAGTACTGTCAATAAAAACAACATTTTTAACAGAATCCAAATCCTTGATATCGCTCAGCTCCGTGCTCTGACTGCTTGGATACAAAACGAGCGTCGATTCCAGCTCCAAACTACTTGGCACCTTCGGATACTCCACAATATGCAAATCGGGAGAAATTGTAGATGCAGCTAGACTCGTGCTTTTCCCGCGAATTTCGCCCGGGTGAAGAATAACGTACACGTTCAGTGGCAAAAAAAGAGGTGGAGGATGACTCTCTGGATGCACGACAGTCAGGCAGTCATAGCAATAATACTGTCTGCGCTTCCCGCAGTTTGCGCAAGGCCTACGTCCTTCTTGTTGCCTTAAACGGTAAAGTGGAACCGAGAATTGTAGAGATCGAATAAAGTCAATAATCTTCCTGCGCCGTTCCTCAGCCCCCTCGGTGTATACTTCCCGCACACGTTTCATGAGCCAGTCACTACCAATACCACTACTACTAATACTAATATAAGTAAATCACACCCACAGAAAAAAAAGCAAAGAAAAAAAAAAAGAAGTTCTGCAAAAAAAAATTTAATTCCGTAGTAACTTAAAAAAAAAAAAGACATTAGAACTTTAAATTTAAAATCTTTTTAAACATCGTATTATATATATGAAAATTCTGTGAGGATTAATACTCAATGCTACTGAGGCTACATTCGCCATCAGCAGGTGTATACCACAGGAAAGTTGAAGCGAGAGAAAACGACCCCGGATTAACAACACGAGCCCCCTTGTATGTGCACTCCCATTGTTCTGTGCTATCACATAGGACGAGCAGGTGTGGAAGTGCCAGCAAAGAAAGAGCCCCATCTGCCTTCCACAAGATCCCTTCCTTGACTTCTGGTGCCAAATGTGCCTCATCCAGGATAGTTTTTGCAACGCTTTCAAAAGAGTTAATGGAGTTTGGGGTGTCTACTACAGAACGATTAAAAGCACGTCCACTTCCTTGAAGAGATCGAAAAAAGTCTCGGCGAGTCACCACTATCTCATGCGTAAAAAATCTTAACCGGCACGGATTTGGGGCAAAAAATATCTTTTTCAGACGAGCCTGCAATGTCCTCGTGAAAACGCTCACAATTGGAGGCTGTGGTAAAACACCTAAAAGTCCCGTGACATCGTTAGGCCCAGGAACAAGAACAACTTGCGTATGTTGAGCAACACTTGGTGCGTGTGTTGTAATCACCATTGCAAGGGTATCCATAAGCAATTTATAGCGGTTAGATCCTTCAAATGGGTCAGGAAGATGAGAAATATCGTCGTAATGAATCGTCGAAGAAGAAAAATCGCCCACCATAACCAAGGTCGTGTTCATAAGTTCGCTTTCGGTCCGATTCTGCATCTCCTTGAAGAAGTAGACTAATTTATTCACTGTCGATGTTTGATCAAGGTGAACGTGCGACATCACAATAATTACAGCTTGAAGTGAATTTTTTTCCCGCAGATGTGCAGCCGCCATATCGGTTGGTCTATAACCAAAAAGATCGTAATCTGAACCAATGTCCCGAAGAGTATCTTCTCGTCTCTCTGCTGGAGGAAGCTCTATGCTGACAACCACGAGAACGCCACTAGACCATTGTCCTCGTACTAAAACAAAAAAGCCATCCCCCACAAAACCAATGAGTGGAGGCACACCACCAAGAAATGTGAGTCTGACTCGACCGTGTAAGTCTTCTAGGCAAATCTCATTGAGACGCCTTCGAATCATTCCTAACACCGCCACATTTTCAGAAGGATCTATTCCCTCAAGCGCTATAGTTGAAAGTAAGGGTGGAAGATCCTGATTCAAGGACTGTTTGTTAAGATCCCTTCGGAACAGGCCGCTTCTCAAACAACGCCTCCTCGTAAATAAATATCGCTGACGAAGGACAGTGAAACGATCACTATCACGCTCTGCGCGCTGCACCTTTATTTCACCTGTTTTTTCATCCATATACACATGGGGTATTTCCTCCAAAGGAATAGGAAAAACAGTTGAAACACCTTCCCTCTCGGATATTCCTCTATCCCTAACCGATTGCTGTGTAATAGCTAACCGCATTTTTTTATCATCCACAAATCGGTCCCCTGCACACAGTTTATGAAGAAGCGCAAAGAGATCTCGGAGTGCATCACGCCGCTTTTCACTGTCTCCTATAGTTGAAAGATGATCTGAGAAACTTTTCAATGCGGAAGGATGAAGTCGGTACTGGTAGGCACGCGCCATAAACTGAATTTCAGCGCGGTGATCCTGCATGGTTCACCTATTTAAAAAAAAAAAAAAGCAAACTTCCCCTTGGCTTTGGCCGCAAGAAAAAAAACAAACGCAAGAAGCAAATAATAATAATACTAAAGCTGGAAGAAAAAAAAGGTGAAAAACTGGCAAAATAAAAGCAAACTTTCCCGCCAGCAAAAAAAAAAAAAAAAACTATTTTTTATCTCAGGGTAAAAGCAAGCCGAGAAGAAAGGTATCATACCCCCAGCAGCTCCAAAAGAAAAAAATCATTGCTGTTTTTTTTTTTTTTTCTCTTCACAGTATATACCTGCATGTGCAAGATCGCAACATTCCATATTTTTTCACTTTCTTTTTGATGAACGTCCATGATGCTTCCTGCCTTTTCGTTTCCCATCAGCGTTACCCCTTTCTGTCAATTCGACATTTCGAAGAAGAAGAGAATCCGCATCATGCAAAGCATTCCTATCGTAGGGAAGAGGCTCGGTCGTCTTTGTCCACCTCAAAGGAATTGTGGGGAAAACGCCATATGGAAAGCTAAAGTACTTTGCAGCTGCCTCAAGCAATTGCTTGATGAAACTGCCCGCCCAGTAGCGCCATTTTTCGTCAAAGAACAAAGAACAAAAGGCGCCAATGTCAAAAATAGCCTCTCCCGTCTCTTCATAATACTGCAAAATACCCTCTAGTTGTTGCAACCTCAACTCCGCCGCTGCTGTCTTTTGATCCTTTTTGCGACGTTGCAACTCAGAAACCTTTATTACCGTAGTACGCTCCAGTTCTTCAGAAATAGGACTGAGAGGAAGGGACTTATAGCAGTGTTCAAGAAATTTGAAAGATGTACTACTATCTGTCAACCCCAAATGGATCGCCTTGCAAACACGAAGGAAATCAACTTCAGAGCATTTATCTAAACGAAAAATCCCATACAATTTATTCCCCAAAAAAACACTGTTAATACCTACTGAAGCAAGGTACTCATAAAAGCAAGCCTCTGATACCTTGTAATCATCGATAGGAAGTGCAAAACGACGCATTCCATTCCATATCCCTTCCATACAGGTGCCTTTCCATTCGTCCTCTAGCTCCAATTGGCGTATTACTCGCGGTTCGTGTGTCGCTCGCCTTCTCTCTTCATAACCCATATCCCATGGCTGAGGTTCCTTTTGGCTAGCATTCTGAAGGAATGCTCGTATTCCCTCATCCCATGATCCCAAAGTAGAAAACATTCCTGGAGGAACAAAAATATATGCGCATAAAGAATTCCGAGGCTATACCATGGCAAACATACGTTTGTTTAATAAACCAAAAAAAAAAAAAACGTGGTGTAACGCAGGAAAAAAATTTGGCGAATATGTACTTTCCACAAGTGAAAAATACCCCACAACCAAAAAATAGAATATATATATGGAAACATGGCTGTGCTCTCCATTGTAGGTAAGGGTATACATTAGCTTCCATTATTAAAAAAAGAAAAAAAATGTTTTGAACAAGCAAAATATCAGTTGCATTTACATGTCCATGGCCTAACCCAACTTGCAAAAGGAGAAGGTAGTGGATAGGGTGGCCTTTTATAACAAGAACGGTATGTCGTTTTGAAGTTTCGATTTTCAGGTTCTGATCTCAATTTTTCCTTTGTTGGTAAAGCAGACGGTGGGTGAATTTTAAACTTGTAATCGCTCCTCATTGTGGATTTCCCCCGGAACGGAACCGCATTTGTAATCGCAACCGGTGTTGAATATGTCTCGAGTGTGATAGTTTTCTTTGAAAACGCGTCTTGATACGTGGAGGAATACCCAAAGCTAGGGACAATTTGTTTTTTCTCAATAGGCTTCAAAGAAATAACCCGTTTCACTTCATTACGTCGAAAGGCCCTTATTACGGGACGGTTCATTTCCTTATATGTTGTTGTTTTTTCAAAAAAAAGAGGTTCTTCCAATATTTTTGTCCTCGGCACAAATGCTGTTTTTGACCGAGGAATCGAATGTCTAAGATAATCTTCTTCATACGTTGTCCCCCCAAACTCCATCATGCTTTTTGAGGATAAAAGACATTCTACCTGACTTGGTTGTGTATTTGGGTTCACAAGGGTCTTAGGGCGTGTTTTCAAGGTTTTTGGCCACTTGTAGCTCTCATGCATGGTAGATTCCTCAAAATAACATTGAGGTATTCTAGTTTTTTCCGGTTTTTGCGGATATCGTCTAGTCGCCCCAAGAATATTTTCCATAAGTATTGATTTCTTGCTTCAACAATAAAAAATATATCCTGAAAAACAACAAATAAGGAGAAAAAGGCTTAGTAAATGTAGGAAAAAAAAGATAGATATAATAAAAACAAATAAAAAATATTAAGCTTAGGAAAGGAAATCGGCACAAGTAAACAGCAAAATTTAAAAAAACCGCATCAAAATCCGTGATCAACTTCCTACCAGAAAAAAGAGATAATACTAAACAAGACTTCTCGATATCTTTTGTAAATTTGCAAGCTCTGCCGATAATGTTTTATTCTCTTTTTTGACCCGAGTTAATTCTTGGCGGACGCCAAGTAATTCACTAACCAATTCTCTATTGCGCTCGTGCACGGCATCGGCTCTTGCGCGCTCTCGAGACAACCCCAGTTCATGGTTAATTATCCCCTTTTTCATTGTCTTATCATATTCCTCAAAGCCTTTTACCGCCTTCAAATGCTCTTCATTTCTTATTTCTTCTTGTACATTTCTTTTTTTCATCAATTCCCTCAATTCTGAAGCACGTTCCTGATTAGCATCGGCCCTTAATGTCTCTTCGTGTAAAGTACGCAATAAAACATTATTAAGTAAGTACGTTCCTTTGGCATCCTGCTGAATAAAAAAACAATACGCGCCCAAAACTATTGTCACAGACCAAGCGGCAATCATGCTTCCTTTGGCCGCAGGTGCTAGCCACCATCCTCTTAGCCGATTCAGTGGGGAGGAAACATCCCTCCATGGAGTTGAATCACCAGGAGCTTGTCGATGTGTCCCCTCGTGAAAAGTTGCTTGGGCGTAACGATGAACGTCGGGCTGGCCACCCATAAGAAAGGAGGACGTAAGGTTCATTCTCTACCAAAAAAAAAAAAAAAAAAAAAAAAAAAAAAAAAAAAAAAAATATTTATATATATATACTATCATTCTTAGTGGCTTTTTCTTATTCACACACGGAATTGACAAAAAAAAAACATTTCCGGAAACCCCACCTTCCAAAGCAAATTGTTTCTTTTATATATAATGGGGTAAACAAATAATAATAATAATAAATCAGAAACAGAGCTTGGTAGTAAAATTATTGACTATTGTCGTCTCCTTTCTTAAAGAGTTTCATGACTCCAGAAAGAAATCCAAAAACGCACGGGTTCGATCCATTAATCCCAAAAGCCGAGCAAGTTTCGAGAAATCCCAGAGGATCACGAAGGGCCAAACCTAAAGAGGCCGCAGCGGCAGAAACTTGTGGATTTCTCACCTGTTCTACTATATCCGCTGTTGGATCTGTTCCCTCAGGAAGAAACTGATGCAGTTTATACATAAAAAAGGCTGGATCCTCATGTAATGCATCAAGAAGTTTCTTTGATCCAATAATATCAGCCAAATCTACATCTTGCTCCAATCCATTCCGCATGTTTCGAAGAATACCCTGAAGGACAACTTCAAATTCAGCTCTTTTTCGATCACTCGGCCGTAGATCTCCACCAATTAGTTCTTGTATTGTGGAAAAATATGTGGAATCGTTTTCAGTTGTCTTTTCCTGAAGCCAATAGAAAATAGGAGGTCGCCTATTACCAAAGTCAAACAAGAACACCCTTCCCGTGGTACATTTCTCTACCTGGCTGAACTTCACTTCTCCTCGGGGAAGATCATGCTGTTCTTCATCAGTTCCTGAAATCCATGTCATTTTCACATCATTGTTTGGCATCTTAAAAAAAGACAATGTACCTCTACGGCGATCCGCTTCGACCTTACCATCTTTGAAATTCATCTTTCCCGCACGAAACTGAATAACGCATTCGCCGCCGCGTCCTTTTCTCTGCATTTCTTCTCTTAATCCCTTAATTTCCAAATTGCGTAAAAGGCAAGAAAAGAAAAATATATATTGAAAAAAACATAAAAATTACATTCGTATTTTATTTCTGTACTTGACTAAAATCTAAAGGGCCAAGATTCTGCTTGCTGGAATTCAGGAAGCAAAAAATAAAATAAAATAAGAACATCCAAAGATGTCTTATTATGAGAGAGCAAAGAATATCCGCTAGAGCAGCTAAACTGAAAGCTTCTGCCTCGCCTTCTACTTTTACACTGTTTCCCCACGTCCCACTCCCACCCTTCCCAGCTTCAATCCCCACCCCAAACGTCCCAAAAAGTTCCAAAAAAAGTCATTAAATAAGTGTCACTTTAGTACGAGGCCTGCTTCACATGACCAAGCTTCAACTCAAACGGAAGCCAATCAAGTGGGGTGGGGTCACGATATGTCATTGGACCAAGTGGACTAGCTATTTGCACATTTCGAATGCGGGCCCAACCTGGAATCGGTGTTAGGCAACGATCTTTAACATCCTCATATGAAATGTGCTCTGTCATGATTACCATATCACGATACTGCTGATATGTTCCAACAACGCCAATGGCAATAGACATTAAACATAATGTATAACCGCAACTGATGAGTGGATACCTTCTCACTTTGAATATAAACCCCCATTTTTCTTGAGATCCAGCTGCAGTTGAAACGTAACCATACTCAGTTTTGATATTTCCTAGTTGAAGTCGCGTCGCCTTCGAAAGCGTGGGTGCAAGGCAATAATTTGAAAGCCGCATTTAAACTATTCAAATAACTATGCAATAGTATATTTTCCCCGTTCAACACTTTCCTAATGAAAATTTATACCTACTTTTTGTTTTAAAAATAAAAAGGAAGATAGGAAAACATATATATATTACTATTATTACTATTATTAACATCAGCAAAATATTATCAACTAAAAAAACATTTTATAAGGTATCAACAACCAATAAATATCCACCCAAAAACGGAAATTTCATGTATTTACCCGCATACAAGAAAAAAAACTCTTGGCAGAAAAAAGTGTGTGATTTTAACGAAGCCTCGTTCATTCAACACAAACACAAAAATCATCACCCATCACTAAGCAAATAAAAAAAAAAAAAGCAACGCATCAACAAAAAAAGAAAGCGCAACATCAAAATGAAAAAATCTCGGTTATCCCTCCCCGTCACATGGCAAACTTGGCTCTCCAAAAAAAAAAGATTCAGAATATTCACCTGGGCCGCTGGCCGAATCCTGAAATTATCTTTATAGAAACCAAACATGATAGGGCAAAAGGGGGGTAACGCAGTGGCAGTTAATTGCCTCATGTTTTCTTCTGATAAAATATTTATATTCTATTGACCACTCACGTGACATTTTGTACTCAGTTAGGATTTGGAATATTATTACTTAAGAAGTGGCAGAATTTGGGGTCCTCCAGCCTCAAGACCCCGCCGCGTGGTGGGAATCAAAAGGGGGTGGGTGCGATGGCAAAATAAAAAACAAACATTATCTTGCCGCCATCGGTTCCCTGCCCCCACTAAAGTCGTGTTCTTCCCAAAAAGATTCATACGGTAGGAAAAGTGTCGTAAAGAAGTGTATATTCGTTCTATCAGGATGTATACAGTAATTGAGTTAGCCAGCTCTCCCGCGATCATTCTCTTCACAAGCTCCTACAACAGTGTGGGATAAACAATATGCACGCATACACAGAAGTAACGACAAGGGCGGTGAAGCTTTTCTCCGCTCCCGTTATAAAAATTCTCTTTTTTTTTTTTTTTTTTTTTTCAACTCTATTTCGGCGCCAGCCCAACCAGTTTTTTCCCCCACTCTACAATGCGATCTGCCTCCTCCACATCCCAGCCGTAAGGCAGCAGCGACTCAATGGTCTGGTTGCCGCACTCCACAAAGTAGGAACTAACAGGTTCAGTTCGGTTTGTTCTTTTCAGCGGCTCAACAAGCCTTAATTCCTCGACATCACACATCGCACAGTGCAAAGTCGTTTGCGGCCCCTCCCCCCACGACTTTAGAAAGAGGAGAGAGGCATACTGGTAGATGCGTTGGATCCACTCCCTAGTCATAAGATCCCTCGAGAAGTTTGTCCCGACACAGCCGGGGTGAAGAGAACACGCAGGAATCTTGTGATGTCGCGCAATGTGGTGAGCGTGGTAAATATTAAGCAATTTACTTGTTCCATAGCGAACAAAAGCACAACCCAATGTATTCCGCTTTAGCGGACCCGTTGAACCCAATTCGCCCTGATTGATTTGTTCAACGGCATCCAGCAGACGTCCATTAAGGCCCGCTTTCGACGGCGTCTTCCACAAGCCTGGTTCCAGCACCATCTGCGGGAAACGGTGTGCCGCAGACGAAACATACACCACACGTCCTTGACTCCGTCGAAGAAGGGGCACAAGGAGTTCTGTCAACATAAGCGGGCCAAGAAAGTTTACCGCAGTGTGAAGCTCCAGTTGCGGGTTATGTCGACCAAATTCCAGTCGTTTTCGCATCATGCCGGCATTGTTCACAAGGACATCAAGACGCTTGTATGTCGCCTGGAACTGATCCACGAAACGCCGCACGCTGGCGAAGTCATCGCATTCAAGAAAAAACCGACCGTCCACGAGGACCGTTTCCGGTACCTCCATGTACATTGAATCCCCATTGCGGCCTCGTCGATGATCCTCCGCCTCCCTCCGAATCTTTGCCGCCGTCGACTCGCTGAGGGCCGGGTTCCGGCAGGTGCACACCACACGGTACCCCTCCACCGCAAGCCCCACGGCCGTGTAATACCCAATGCCGCTGTTCGTCCCCGTGACTATTGCCACTGGCCTCTCCTCTTCATTCATATTGCGGGAAATGACAAATGCGAGTTGGCACTCCCTCGGCGACAAGTCCTTCTTCCCTTCCTTGCCACCATTGTAGGTTGCCCCTTCGTGCGGCGGCCGCGCGCCATTTCGTGAACCGCGAGCCACGAGCCGCTGCACAACCAGCCACGCTGGTACCGCCACTATAAGAAAGGAACGTGGCAACACAAAAAAGCTCACAGCTGCAGCAAATGCGGTGCATATGGCACCTAATTCACTCTTGTAACCGAAACGCATGGCGGTACAACTCCTCATTTTTGCTTTTTAATTCCTTCTGGTTAAATTCACTCTGAACAAACGCAGCC